ACAGGTCTTTAGTTTAGTTAATAAAAAAGTACAGATGAGGTATTAAAAAAAAATCCTGTAAAAAAACTGTCAAACCATAAAAATAGCCTTCTTAAGTCTTTTAAGTACAAAATATAAGTTTAGATTCATTAAAAAATTGTGCAGGAAATTTATTTAATGAATACTAGGAACCAGGATCAGTAGCAAATAAAAAAAGGATTTTTTAACGTGAACGCGTTCACGTTAAAAAATCCTTTTTTTATTTGCTACGCGTACGGTCAGAAAATAAGCTGCTGAGAAAGGAGTTTTAGGACAAGTTATTGCTTGCACAAGGAAATTAGGTACGGTTGATAACATTCCTAGATCAACCATCGAACGGATCCTTAGATCTTGTAAGGACGAAATTTATATATAAATTTCGTCCTTACAAGATTAATTAAATTAATAAATTAAATAAGGATGATTTTTGACCAGCGACTGAAAATTTGCGAAACTATGACTAAACAAATAGCTAATGATGACACTTTGCTTTTCAGCATCAGTTTACCATCCAATTTTACGTTTTTCCTTAACTCTACTGTCAATCGCCAAAATTATTGCTACTGGTCAGATGCAAATCCACAAATCCACAAATTTTATACTCAAACTTAATGTTTGGAGATAGTCTGATGGACTTATTTTTTCTGATTATAACCTGACAGGAGAGTCTTATTTGAAATTACCTCGGAAATTACTAATTAAGCGTACATAAAATTTGCCACAAGAGACTTATATACTTTATTTGGTACATCACTTTTAATCTAAAAATAATTAAATAATCCAGATTTTTTCCAATTTGTGATGGTTTTATAAATAATTTATGTTCGTAAATCATTTATGACGCGTTTTTATAACATTTATTATATTTTTATACCAAATTTATTAATTTTCACCAGTAGGTAAATTATGTCTTATTAACAATTAAACAAAAATAACGTTGACAACAAAATTATTTACTTTTTTGATATGGCCAGAAAATTTTAATTTATTTTTTATAAAAAAAATAATTTTTGTGATTTGCTTAATTTAACCTCACCACAGAATTACTTACTTCTCCTCCTAATGACATAATCTACTACACTCAAAGGCAAAATATTCGATCCACACAAATTTTCGATGAATTTCAATCGCAAATAACTTTTTTATTTGATTTCGGATTTAAACAAATATTAAAGAATATTGTAGATACATTAATGAAGTTTAAGACACTCTGTAGAGTGGCAAAACCGTATATTGTTCTAAATTAAGTTTTAATTATCAAGTCACATCTATTAATATTGGAAATTGCAATGTTTTTTTTTAAATCTATATTTTCCACAAAAATAAATATATCGAGGTGAACCAAAAACAAAACTGTTAGGAATAGATGTGACTTGATAAATAAAACTTAATTTAGAACAATATACGGTTTTGCCTCTCTACAGAGTGTAAAAAACATATTTTTGTTTAAACCTGTATATTATAAACCTACGTATATTTTATAGTAATTTTTTAAAATGTGAGCGATTTTCCATTAATTTATCTACAATATTCTTTAATATTCGTTTAAATCCGACATCAAATAAAAAAGTTATTTGCGATTGAAATTCATCGAAAATTTATGTGGATCGATTATTTTGCCTGTGAGTGTATTATAAGAAGCATAATTTTATAAAATGACAAATAATTTAGGGACTTAATGACTTAATAATTTGGACCAATAAAGTTCTTTACATTTTAGGGAATAAATTCATGATTTATAAACTTTGGACCAATTTAAAACATCGACTCCTGTCAAATTATCTAACCTCACTTTCTTCTTTTAATAATTATTATGATTGTACGTTTTATATATCTTTTAACAAATAAGAATATGCTATTATAATAAAGATAAAATATTGTATGCAAGTCGGCCAAGAAGTGACATTTTGTGCTTCGCTTATTGTAGCATCGGCCTCTAAACTTTAAGCTCAGCACAAAAAGACTTATTTCTTAACTTAATCTCATAAATAACTATTAGGTAGGTATGTCTGTTTTAATAAATGTTACATAATAGTATATTATTATACGAGAGATAATGCGCATTATAACGAGTAAAATACTATATATAAGTATACTTTATTCACTCCAATAAATAGATAATTAAATAATTTTCAAAAATATTTAAAGAAAATCTGTTAAATGGTTAGCTTAACTTTTAACCAACTTTAAATGTTATTATAGTCGCTTTCTCCCAATTTAAAACCCGATTGGTTCAAATCACCGTGAATATTGAAATCGGCCAATCACTGATGCCTAACAACGTGAATAATGAGTTCAATATTTCCGTTGTTAGGTAGAGAATTTGTAATGTTTATCATAATTCACCAAAAAAAAAACATAATTTTGCAATGGGAGTAGATACAAAATAATATTAATTTTAATGTTATCAATATTGATGAATTGAGTCTTAAAAGCCATGTCACTAACAAAAATGTTGTTTAGTGATCAAATAATAAAGATTTAAAAAAAATGTGGTAAAATTTGCATAAATTTAAAAGTGGGTAAATGCGCTAATTAAAGAATAAAATTCATAACACAAAAATGAGCAAGAAAAGCTGAATCATCTTTTAGAAGCAAAAGCTCATCATTAACATTTTCCAAATGCAAATAAAATAACTTTTTTAACCTTTCAGTAGTCGCGCTATTTTTTTTTTCAAGTTTAGTCGCCCCGGTCTGTAACACCGGGTTGTTTTTTATAGGTTTTGCGATTTTTTTTTATAAATATTTACTATCAGTGAAGTTTTATGGGTAAAAAGGTACATATAGGTACAAAAAAGTGATAAGAAAAAATATATATTTTAGAAAATACAGGCATAAAACAAAAATAAAATTCATATAAAAAAGGTCTTTAAACTTTTAACATACAAATAAAATTGCAACTTAAAGTTAAAATAAAAAAAATATTATTTTTTGGTCCTTATTTAATACGGTATTGAAAGAAAAATTGAAAAATTTAGCTTCGAAAGGACTTTGCTTGCAAGATTGGCAAATGCCTATTATGTGCTCTAATTTATTTTTGTTTTTTGCCTATATTTTCTAAAATATATATTTTTTCTTATCACTTTTTTGTACCTATATGTACCTTTTTACCCATAAAACTTCACTGATAGTAAATATTTATAAAAAAAAATCGCAAAACCTATAAAAAACATGTACATGTAGGTATTACGTTTAAAACACACATGTAGGTATTACGTTTAAAACACACAAATCCAGTTTTTCTATATTTTTTCCAATTGCAATAGGCACATCTACCAGGGGTAATATTTTCTTGAGATGTCTGAAGTACAATTCCACAAAATTCTTGAAGTGAAAATTTCAAACTTTGTTGAATTTCGGTCAAAGCAGCACGAGTTATTTGTAACACGAATGGTCACCCCGGTCTCACACACCGGAAGTCACTATAATTCGCAATAAATATGTTCAATCGCATCCAAATTGCAACTAAGCATGCATGTACACTATTTAGGAAGGTACCTGGGCGGTGAAGTTTTTATCTCCACCATCTTCAAAGTTTAGTTTAATTTTAAATCGCTCCGATGTCAGACACCGTGCGCGACCACTGAAAGGTTAAAACAATTGCAAGAAACAAAAAAAAATTACGTTTTTTTCTAAACAAAGAAATAAAAGTTCTTAAATAAAGTGTTTAAAAAATGAAAGACATATTATATACATAATACATTAATTTTCTCCACAGTTTAAAACTGAGCCACTTTCTCAATTGAAATGTATAGGAAATTTACAAATTCTTTAACATGGTTAGAAAAATGTAATTTTCTATTTTATATCAATGCATATTTACACGATTTTTTTCAATTAGCAATAAATAGGTATCACGACTGTGAAATTTATCTGAAAATTTTTTAGTCATCGCCATTATAAGACATATTTAGCATAATATAGTTATTTTCCATCAAGTGCGCCAGGTTTTTCCGCAAGCTACTGCAACTGGGCAAGCAGTGAGTGCGGAAAAATTACGTTGCACATTTTTTTTCCACAAGTAAGGGAATCTCTTAATTTTCTTTATCTCCATGCGGTCTATAATTTAAACTTTATTGATTTCAACATTCGATAAAGAAATACCTTGTTATGGCCTAGGCCGATAAAAAATTTTATGAGGCAAGTAATTAGTTCGATTTTTTCTCGCTAGGGGTATTGTTTTGACAAATTAATCCTTTTCTAAGAAATTAACGTACTAAACTGGTTTAATTTATTTATAATAAGCCCTAATTTGTTTGTTTTACTGTTAATGTTTAATATTTTTCATTAAATTATTGTAAAATTAAATATGAATAATAAAACAAACAGTGAGGTTAGGCAACCAAGAAAACGCACTATTCTTTTTCTACGATTTAAATTATATTTAAGTTTTAATTTGCTTTAAGTTTTTAGTGAAATTAAATGTTAAACACAGCTTAAACATTCCAAACTACCTATTTTTTTAATAATAAACAATTAATTGAATTCAATGTATTAGCAAAAATCCATTTCTACTTAAATCATGTTGCTAGGTATTGTCAAACTATTACTGCTTTTAAAAGCAATAATAATTATTTTACATTTATGTAATCTTTAGCTAATAAATAAATGAGATTCTAAAAAAGTGAGGTTAGGCCGCTTTGATGTTGAATTAAATTGACCTATATAAAGTGCTTTAAAGATAAAATGTTGTATGCCATTCGGCCAAGAAGTGCCTTTTTGTGCTTTGCTCAAACCTTGAGCTTAGCACAAAAAGCCTTACTTCTTAACCTAATGATTATTAGTTTTCACAAGAGTGCTGAAGTTGCTACTTATATTTTTATATTGAATTATTGTGGCAATATTTTTTGTTTTTAATTAAAAATACTATTGGAGGCTTTATGATTTAATAATTTTATTCCTGTATTTTTAATAATTAAGAACAGACGATATTGTGCTTGTAAATTAAATTAAAAATAATTAATAAATAAAAAACTTTTCAGCCCCAAACATTCGCCCTTACAAATGGCGAAGGCCAAGTGCGCCGTCGTCAAGACCTGGGCACCGGAGGTGTCGAAGACATGATCCAACTCACAGACCTGTGCGAAGCCTCCTTACTGTGGAACCTGAAGCTCCGCTACGACCGGAACTTGATCTATACGTACGCAGGAAGCATCCTGGTCGCAGTGAACCCCTACAGGATGTTCGACGGGTGTTACGGCATCGAGTCGGCGCAAAAGTACAGAGGCAAGATGATCGGAGCTTTGCCACCGCACCTGTTTGCCCTCGGGGCATCTGCCTACTCCGCCCTTCCTGCACCACAGGTAATATTAATAAACATTGCGTGAAGAAAAAAATCAGAAGCGTATCATAAATATAAAAAAGTCTTCTTTCTTTGTTTATATTTTTTTATTTGCCTTTGAAACCACTGAATAATTTTGTTGATCAAAAGTCCTTACTAAAATAAAAAGAAAGCCCTTCAAACTTTTAATGGTATTAAAAAATATAAACCAAATTTGACATCCTTCCGACAAAAAATGTTGCTAATAACATTTTTATATTTTTTATAGAATATGCTCCTGTTTTTTTTCAACCCGCTTAGGAAAAAATAAATACTACAGCCATACTTATAGTAAATTTAAACGAAAACGACGTACACGTCATCAATCAGCTGATCGGGCACGGTTGTCAATGTGATGCTAAAATCATTGCATCAAGTGAAAGTGGCGTTTACATTATTGTTCATAGGGTCCCTAGATTTGGGACCTTAGAATACCAAAATGTCAAAATCAGAGTTATATAACCCATATGATGCACCGCCAAAAGTATATTTTGTTAAATATTTTAATATATAATAAATTAAATTAGCCTATTAAAGATGATACTCTTGACTAGGCTTGGGAAAATTTCACTTTTTGCTTGTACTCGAAATTTCACTTGAAATTTTCATGACATTTATGAAATTTATTAACATTTCCTAAATTTCTGAAATTTCATGAAATTTATGAAATGTATTGAAACTTTCAATAAATTTCAATCACTTTAAGTGTAATATATTATATATATTGAAATAAGCCCACTCGGGGACCATGGCAAATTACCTCTCTTACCTCCTACCCCTCTGTGGGCCCCTGCACCAATAATATAAATAGTAAATACCTATGTTTACCACAAATTTCTTGAGATTTCCTTTTAAAATTACTAAAAGTAAGAGAGATATATATATATTCATTGTTTTATATTTATATAGGTATTTCACTGAAATTTTACAAAAATTTAAGAAACTTGATCAAAATTTTATGAGCCAAAGGCATTTTACATCCGTTTTCCGATGCAATTGTAGCAAAAGTAAAAGTTTAAATTAATCATGACTTTTAAAAAAAATTAAAGCCTGATTTAATTTACAAATTAAATTGGTAACTGAATTAAATTATTTAAATTAATTTATGCATATAAGTAACAATAATTACTAAAAGTGTATTCAAATCCAAGCCAAACTAAACAAAAACGCCCAGACGCTTGATAACTGGTTCTTATTGGTCGATTCGGAATCTGTTGTAAATTATTATTAAAGGTCCCAAGGGAGGCCGCATGTGAAATTTATGCGAAATTTTCAGTAAATTGCGAAACTTTCAATGAAACTTCTGAAAGTTTCACAGGCAATGTTGAAATTTACATTTGAAAATTTCAACTGTATCAACCCTACTTTTGACTCCTACTATTTAAATGCTTCGGCATTCTAAATATAGGAAAAACAAAACAACGGTAATGAAAACTTAAACGATATAAAATAACACAAACAACAAACAAAATAAACGAAATTATACACGAATTAAACGAAATATTCAAAAACACAACTGACAGCTTCAAAATTCTAAAACGTCAATTTCTTTTTCTATGCGTCATTTTATTAAGCAAAATTTTAATTTAAACATGACAACATTGCAATTGCTGCCATTGGCCATTGCAAAGTTGTTTTTAAAATGCATTAAAATATTCAATTACAGACTTCGTTTTATACATTTAGTGTTGGTATCAGTGCGCAAAATTATGACGTCATCGATGACGTGTACGTCGTTTTCTTTTAAATTTACTATATGAAAAAACTATTGCAAATTTTTAATATGTGACATATTAAACCTGTATTTAAGCGCCTAGGACAGACAAATCATAGAACAAGTCTAAATTCAAATGTTGTCTAAAATGCAATTAAATCAGTGTCGGCTGGTATAAATCTAAGAAGGTAGTGCAAGAATGTTGGCTGATGGTGCAAAACCAAAAGTTTCTTCGCATTCACATAATCAATTATTTTTATCATAAAAAGTTTTTCAATTTTTAAATTGGGTATAGGTTAGTCTAATTTAATTTGTAGTTTTTTTTCAAGCAAACAACTACCAAAAGAGTTTTTAAGATGATAATTTGATTCATTGTCACATGTGTATGTACAATAAAAGTTTATGATTATAAATTCGCCAACATTGAACCACGTTTTTCTATTTATCTACTCTCTTAAAATGAAATAGTCAAAATTCTACTATTTGAATTAGTACCAGCATTTTTTACCAATAAAATAATCGTTTTCACTTTAAAATTGTTATTTTTTACTACGTAAATAGTTAAAGTTTGACTTATTTAAGATTAGAGTTAAGAGTAACTAATTTCTTTAATCGTTTACGGCCAACAACAAAGTATTATTTAAATCAAATGCATATGGTTAAATGGCCCATAAAAACAAATAAAGATGCAAAAAGTTTAGCTCAAAACATGATTGTTATATATAAGAGTGGTTGATAGCCACATTGGTTATGATAACAGTTTGACAAACTTGACAAGTGAAACCTGAGTTCAATCCCCGGCTGGGTCAAAACTTTTTTAAATTTAAATCTACTAATTTGACTATTTCATTCAGTAGAATATGACTAATTTTTAGTGACTGCTTTTTCGCTATGACAATTACAAAACTTTATTATAATTATTAATTATCTATGAAGGGTGTTTCACGCCAAGTCGGCAACTTTTGAACCCGATTCTTTTGATTTGACTAAAATTTATTACCTTAATAAAAAATTTACAAAAAAGGCCTACTCAATTAAATGTTTTAGTTTTTCAAAAAAAAAAACATTAATATTTTAAAGTAGGTACGCCATTTATTTATTTTTAATTTTTTTAACTTTAATTATTATGCTTTAATCGCAAATCCCATGGTGGGCCAACTTTTCTTTTATTTTTTTCCAATTAAACTTTGTTTAAATACTAAAATAATCTAAATAAAAATAAAAAAATAAAAGGAAAAGTGGGATTTGGGGAATTAAACTCAAAATAAATAAAAGTTTTTCTTGAAAAAAAAACAATGAAAAAATAAAAATCTTTTGAAAAAATCACCAGATTTCGGGTGGATGAAAAAATGTAAATATAATCACAGAAACGTTTTTAGCGGTGTAGAAAATTTCAGTTAAAGTGGTCTAGTTTAAAAGTGGTCGATTTGGTGTTCTTCATATATTGCAGTTTTATAAAATATTAAGGATAGTTTTTATTTTGCAGGAATACAATTAAACTGCTATATTAAATGCCATACAGTAAACATGCCAAACAATGATATACAGTATGCATACATGTCCACGGGGAATACAAAGAGGAAACAATTATTTAACACTTAACCTTGAAAAACGTTTTTGCGTGATTTTAAACCCACATAATATGCGACAAATTATTTTTATTGTCCAAATTTTTTTTATAAAAATTATTTTTCCTTCATTTCTCAAGAGTTATCGTTTGACAGGTTCAAAGCTTTTTCTTTGCAATTTCTCGCCAAATATACATTTAAAAAATTAAATTAGTTTGAGATTGAGATGCCAGGGCAAAAGTTTTAATTTTAATATTTAGTTTTCTTTATTTTTATTCACATAATACTCAGGAATTTAAATAAAAGTCCATGGAATGTCAACATAATTAAACAATCACAGTTAAAGAAGTAAAATAATAATTTTACTGCCAGGAGGTCAATTATTGGACCGTAACACATGGTATTATTATGAAAATTACTTTGGTATGATTCACAAGAGGATGACCTAAACCAGTGACGGCTGGTGGATTTTAAGTATACCGATATCTGAATTATTAGATATGGGACTCACACCAAATTTATTACATTAAATAAACAAGTTCTGCGCAAGCAGAATTTAAGTTTGCGAAAAAAAGATAAATTTAATTGGTGCAATTTATTTTTTACCATAGTTTATCGACAAATTTCAAATTTTATTCAAAAAATACAAATCAGATTTTAAATCATTTTAAATTTTTATTATTTCTATGAAAAGAAATATGTTCAATTTAAATTCTGCTTGAGCAGGACTTTTTCATTATAAACTCATATAAATTTGGTGTGGGTCCCATATCTAATAATTAAAATATCGGTATACCCAAAATCCACCAGCCGCCACTGACCTAAAACATAAAATTTGGGAGTATAACAAATTACGACAAAATTTGATTTTTTTCCCTCCCATGAAAAATTCCTATAGATTTTAAAAATTGTCTTAAAAAATTATACCCGTGTCTCGGCTTTTTTTTTCAGATCACGTAATTTTTTTTTTAAGTGCGATCAATAAAATGTTATCCACGGTATTTGGCACATAAGCTTCGATAAAAGCTATTTTTAATAAAAATTTATTCTCTAAATAAATGGACAACCATTAAAATTATTTATTTATTTTAAAATTAATTTAATTATATACATTGTGTTGCACATTTACGAAATACGGGTGTTTTACGTTCGTGGTCCATTAAAAGTTTTTGAGGAACAGCAAAATATATCGATTTGAATATTTTAAAGCCTTTATTATTGAATATTTTTCCAAAATATTTTAATCAAAATACCACTTCCGGTTTGACCGGAAGTGAAATCATCTTTGGTATTTTAAATAGAACACCCTATTATTCTTACATTTTTAAATTCTACATTAAATTTTGAGTAAAATTACTGTACCATGTCCTATACCTAAAGTGAATAGTTTTCGAGTAATTAATTTTTTTCGTTAAAATTTGACAAATGCTCGTTAATAAAAAATATCCTATAACTATTTTGCTATTAGGTTTGCCGAAATGGGGGTGGAATTTTTTTAATCTTAAAACATTGTTTAAAAGATTCCATGTCAATTCTTTAGCAAATTACCCAAGAAAACCCAGTGCAAATTAGGCTAACTTGAAACGTTAATAACTTTTTTATTTTAAATACACACATATTTAAAAAATGGATTTTATAAACGCTTTTAAATTTCAAATCTATATTTTTTCCGTTCCCCAGAAACTTCCAATGGACCACGAATGTGAAACACCCTGTATATCAAGTGAGGTTTTTAGGTTGCTATACCACTATAGATACTAAAGCAATGTATAATCGTCAAACTAAAAGATCAAGATTTGTTTCCAACATATACATATTTAATATCAGATAAATACAAATCTGTTCTTTTATTTAAAAAAATTAAAATTTAAAACCAGAAATATTATTTTTTAGTATATTTTTGTATTATGTAAAAACTTAAAATATTTTAAGAAAAAAAAAAAGATTTACAACCAAATAGAGAATTAAAAATTTGTTTAGGTTAAAATAATAAGAATTCTTGTGTAAAAAATTTAAATGACAGGATTTCGAGACACGGGTACGTTTTTTTAACCTTTTTTAAAATCTGTTAAATTTTTTGAATGGGAGGAAAATCGTGTTGTACTGTGCAATAGATGCAGTGTATTAGATATTTAGACAGATAACAATAAATAAATATTAATTTTATTTTAATGTTAATTTCACAAGCTTATTGAAAATTATTTCAACAAATTTCCTAACCCCTATGATTGTAAATATTGCGGAGATGTTTCACTATTATAGCGTGTTGTACGACTTTACGTTCATTTTTTTAATCCATTTAGAATCATAACTCCTTCGTTACGTCACGGATTTAAATAAGATTTAAATAAATGCATAACTTAAAATAACCTTTGACGAACTTTTCGTATAATTTATTTAAAAAAAGTAAGTTTTAAGATATTTAAGACTAGGTTTTAAATATTATAAATAATTATAAAATATGTGTTATTGCATTAACTAATACAATATGATTATGATATAAATTTCTATTTAAAATCGTTTTTAACATTTCGTCACCTGAGAATTATAGTGTTCTATCTACATTTTCTTTTTTTTATTCAGGTTAGTCTTATTTTAAGTCTTAAAGTTGATATTGATCTATCTATATATAATTGGGGTAGAAATTGTAAAGTTTAAGGCTTAAACTGTACAATTTTTACCCCAATTATATATAGATAGAACAATATGCATCTTTAATACTTAAAACAAGACTAACCTGAATAAAAAAAAGAAAATTCAGATAGAACACTATAATTCTCAGGTGACGATTTTTTGTATATTTTTTAGGTTGTTGTAATAAGCGGCGAAAGCGGCTCGGGAAAGACTGAATCCACGAAACTAGTAATGCAATACTTGGCGGCCGTAGCGCCGTCTGCACCAAGAGGTCAAGCGCTGGTCACCGAACAGATCCTTGAAGCAGCACCACTTTTAGAAGCCTTCGGAAATGCCCGTACTGCACGAAACGACAACAGCTCCAGATTCGGAAAATATCTGGAAGTGTATTTCAAACACGGTGCCATTATTGGAGCAAAGGTCACGCAGTATTTATTAGAAAAATCTAGGATTGTGACACAAGCTCCCGGAGAAAGAAATTATCACGTTTTCTATGAACTGTTAGGGGGGTTGAGTAATACTGAAAGGCAAAAGTATGGCCTTGTGGATGCTGATAAATACTTTTATCTAAATCAAGGTAAGAATTAAAGTTTTTGTATTATAGTAGTTTTCAGATTTTAAGGACCTTTTTAATACAATTTAACTTTTTCGTTTCCAATTTAATATTTTTGGGGTTTTATGTTATCCAAATATTGATCGCTAAAGAAATAAAAACTAAAAAAATTGTCTTTCCACAACTGATTATAAACTCTAGATTGCTTTAGACACACCGGATAACCCTTTAGCCATATTTTTTTTTGTAAAAATTGCTGATGGAATGAATAATAAATTTATTTTATGTAAATGTAAATGTACACAAAAAATACATAAACAAATACAGAAAAAGTTAATTAATATTTTATAAAAACATAGTAATTACAAAAATTAGTGAAAAAAATCACACATAATAATACAGATTTTGAAAAAAACATACGATTGCCTATAAATATCTCGTTTATTAGGTGTATAAGGTTCTTAGTTTACATAGTATTGGTCTTTCTCAAAGTTTCTACTTTAAATCGTAGCTTGTTGTTGTTGAAGTTAGTAACCTATTATGGACTGTAATACAAAAATAAAAACAACATTTTATAGAAACGGCCTATGCCTCGGATAAAATAAATTGCCATTTTTTTAGAAATTGATTTGATGAGTGAAACATTTTTTAAATTAGTTTTTTAAAATAAAAGCAACTTATAAATATATACAGACCAGTTAAAGTTAACATATTAATAAATTTAAATTTTGTTTTACAGCTTTCTCCATAGGATATGTTTAATATATTTCTGACGATTTTTATTTTAAATAAAAAAATGCTCTGTGTTGACATTTGTCCCTAAAGAACAATTCCATTTTTCATTAAAGTATTAAGTTCTACATAATTTTTCATAACTCTCAAAGCATAGTTTGTTTTATTAAGCTTCTTTCTGGGTATATTAATGTATTCTACCCATATAGCCCTTTATCAATTCTGAACCCTACAAACTTGCTTTTATTAACAACAAATTTATTTCCATAAATAATATAATATAAATTTACTTCCATAAACAATATATATTGTTTTGACTTATTGATGATCATCTTGTTCTTTAACCAGAAATTTAAATTTTCAAATATATTGCTTGGTGACTATAGCTTATAAGCCCTTTTGACATAATAGGCAAATTGGTAACCAACAAAATTCACCAATTGAAATTGTAATTGTCTGTTTTCCATTTAGATATCCATGCTGATCCTTGTTAAAAAGTTTAAGAATATTTTATAACCTACATAATTTATTATATTCTCTCAGCCATCGTAATCTTAAAGATTTTTAAAAGGGAAGGAAGCATACTGATTTGCCTTTAATTATTTAAACTAGTAGGATTACTTTTTTGAACACTGGGGTGACTATTGCTTTTTTTAAAAAGCCTAAAAACACCATCCATTAGAAAATTATTAACAATATATGAAAGAGGTTTACAAACTTTAAGTCTTCAGGTTTTTATAATGCTTGTAGGTCTTTTATTAAAGTAACAACTTTGGGATAATATTTAATTTCAGTAACCCCCCTCACAAACATTGAGTTAAAATCCTATATCCGAGTCATATGCCATCTGCTCTAAGTTAGATATTATTTCACCGACAGTAGTAATAAAATTGTTATTTTTGTTATTATTGTTATTGTTATTATTTGCAATACTAAAATCATCCCCTTCTACTTGGACTTGAGTAAACTTGAGTAAACAGCCTTTAATGTTAATGTTAATAACAATACTTTACATTGCCGTTTATTTATTTGGTTGAATTGTGCAGTTGGTTAAAATCATTATTAAATCTACTTTACATTAACAAAACATCAAATCTTTCCTTTATTACATATACATATTTATCAGCAGCCTACCTTTAAAATTATTTAATTTTTTTACCTATTATTAGATTCCTATATTTATAAAACAGCTTCACTATTTTAAACAGTTATATTGCAAGAAAATACATCCAGTCAGTTCTCCTCAGACAGCTTTTTCCTAAACATATCATTATTTTCTGAAAATTTTATTTGTATTTTATACTTCTTATTATTATTAAGTCATCATTTCGAGGTTATATTCAATATCCTTTAAAGTATGTACTTAACTCGAGGTACATATAGAGGTAAAAATTTGTAATTTTTAAAATAATATTATGAACTTCATAATTATATACGCTTTAAAAGGTTTTATAACAAGTAAAAAGTTTATAACTGTTGGAGAATTTGGTTGTTTTAATTTTTACATAATATGCAATATCAAGTATATTATACTTTATTTGTAAATCTTGACACGACTATTATACCTACCAATATACCATTTATATTATAACATCGTGACACGCAACCGAGATAATTTTCAGTTAGTTTTCAGTTATTCTTAAGGAAAAATTGATAACAACGTTCTACTGTATAACAACCATATATGGTTGTTTTTATTGACTAATCTCTATAATAGAAGTGGTTTAATGCTGATTTTTAAAATCATGTCTTAACCCCATTTTATTTAAAAACTAATTTAATTTTTTTTTATGCAGTTCAGGACTAAAATTTTACTAAAACTCTAAAATAAGTTTTTGGGAATGGCCTTTATATAACAGTAAATATTCAATTCGCCTCTTCATACCCTTTGTTTCTTTAAATGCTATTGCACAAGTTTTATATTATAAATTATAAAACATGCAACAGTATTGTGTCTTCTTTTAAAGGCAATTAATAAAAATTAATAGGATAATCACCTTGGTTCTTAGTATTCTATTCTTTTCTTCGCATTAAAAGCAAATTATAATTTAAGTAAAATGTACGTTAAGTAATTACATTTATAAGTAATAATATTTTAAAGTCTGAAGTCTAAGCATAAGATTATAAACTCAGTATAGTTTTAATCTAGCACCAAGATGCTAGGTACAGAAATGTTACAAAAGTTTTTTATTTAATTTTTAAAATGTTGGAACGAAGTCTTATAGTGTATAATAATCGTAATAGTGCATTTACTATAGATAAAATGTTTTGTTTTTATTATTTGTCTAATATTTTATTAAATATCTCGCTACCTAGTAATATATTGACAAAAATTATAATTACACTTTTTTATTTAGGTGGTAGCGACTGTGCACCAGGTCACTCAGGCTCAGGAGCCGACTGGGGCGCCTTAACCCGCGCAATGCAGGTTCTTGGGGTCAGCGATTCGGAGCAAGAAGGCATCGTAAGAGTCCTCGCCTCCGTGCTGCACTTGGGCAACATCTATTTTCATCGAAGGCAGCTTAGACATGGCCAAGAAGGCGTTGAGGTGGGCTCCGATGTCGAAATAAAGTGGGCAGGACATTTGTTGCAAATATCAGCGTCTGGATTACAGAGGGTTTTGACATCAAGGATTACAGAAGCCAGATCTGAAAGAGTGCTGTCTCCACTTAGTATTGATCAAGCTTTAGATGCAAGAGATGCATTTGCTAAGGCTTTGTATTCTGCACTTTTTAATTGGTAAGATTTTGATTTTATATTATTAGAAAACTTTGTCTATATGTTTTTTATATTATTAGAAAACTTTGTCTATAAATTACTAGTTTTCTCCATCCGAATTTTGGAAACTCTAAATAAGATCATTTTGTTAAATATCATTTCAAATATAAACCAATGTCATATAACGATTTTGCCCGCTCATATATCATTCCCAATTTATTTTATCTTTGGAATTCGCAAATAATTTAATTTTATGTTAATTAAAAGTAGTATAATAAAATCTTAAAATACAAATAAACATCCAATACTTAGGTGACTAAATAATGTTAAAATATACACATAACCAGTTGGCAAATTACATACATTCAAATTTATTGCATATACATTTAAACTTGATTCATGCATTAACATTAAAATTTAATAATGATTTAAAATATTGTCAGCGTGCAATTAACATTGTTTCATTCTTAAACCATTGCATAATACTAAATCTTACTTTTTCCTTTAGGTTGGTAACAAGAGTGAACTCGATCGTACAAAGGGGTGGTTTACATGATGCTGCTCGAATCTCCCTGCTGGATATATTTGGCTTTGAAAACCTCAACGAGAACTCTTTTGAACAATTATGCATTAACTTTGCTTCAGAGTCTTTGCAGTTGTATTTTAATAAGCACGTATTTAAATTAGAGCAACAAGAGTACGCAAAGGAGCGCTTGGAATGGACTGCATTGACTTGGAGTGATAATACTCCGGTCATACAGTTGTTGGGGAAGAAACCTGTAGGAATTCTGCATTTGTTGGATGATGAAAGTAACTTCCCTAAGGCTTCAGATGCCTCATTTTTGGAAAAGTGTCATTACAATCACGCTCTTAATGAAAGCTATTGTAGACCCCGTGTTGGGGGACGAGAATTTGGTGTAAGATTATACTAAAACAACCTTACAAATACCAAATAATATCTAATAATATTATTTTAGATTCGTCATTATGCCGGTCAAGTTTGGTATTCAGTTGATGGTTTCTTGGATAAAAATAGAGATGCTCTACGTCCTGATGTAGTAGAATTGCTTGCATCAAGTAAGGAACCATTAGTTACAGCGTTTGCAAAACCATTACTAACACAGGCTCAAGCACGAACATTACCTAGAGGCGCAAACGGAAGGTTTGTCACAATGAAACCGCGTACACCAACTGTAGCGGCTAGGTAAATTAATATTTAATAAATAAATATTGTATTCATAATCGTTATTTCTTAGATTCAGCGATAGTCTCCAACAGTTGCTAGATTCAATGTCAAAGTGCAATCCTTGGTTTATCAGATGCATAAAACCCAACAACGATAAAACTCCCATGAGATTTGATATGCCGGTAGTTCTTGAACAGTTAAGATACGCTGGTATGTTAGATACTATCAAGATAAGGCAATCTGGATATCCTATACGTATGAAGTTCCAACAATTTGTTGAAAGATATAGGTATGTTTATAATTGAGAGAAATGTTTTTTTATGTAAAAGTGTTAATTAAGACATTATTTACGATTTCTTCTTAATGAAATTTAATAAGTATTAATAACAATTTAATATAAAATTTATTACTTTCATGGTTGCGTAAAAGTTTTGAAAATTATTATTCAGGTCAATATAATTCATAAAGGAATTGTTTATTTACAGGTACTTGTTGTCAGGAATTTTACCTAGAGGTGCGCCATACCGAGATCTTTGTCGATCCATTCTTGAACAGATGCCGGCTACTGGCACAGGTAAATATTATTTAAGTATCATTTCATATTATTTAATAATATTTTCTTTGTAGAAGGGCCAGATTATCAACTTGGAGCCACAAGAGTATTCCTTCGAGAAAGTCTAGAAAGACAACTTGAAATGACGCGTGGTGAATCTCTTAAAGGGGCTGCCGTAACAATACAAAAAAACATAAGAGGATTTCTACAACGCAAAAAATATCGCAATCTTAAAAAGAACGCAGTGACTATCCAAAAGCATTGGCGAGGATACAAACAACGTCAAAACTATGGCAAGCTCAAGAATGGTATTACTAAAGCACAGGCCTTATATAGAGGTCGGCGTGAAAGAAAAAGATTTGGGCAACGAAAGGCCGAGTATAGACGTAGAGTGGAGGCTGAGAAAGTGGCGCAAGAACGGGCTAAGCAACGAGCAGCAAGGGAAGCTAAGTTGCAGGCTCAAGCACAGAAAAATAACCCGCCTAAAACCGCAGTGCATCATTTGGAGATACCAGCGGAATTGGCCTTTATATTTTCCAAGTTGGAAGGATACAGTCCGCCTCATACCGAACGTAATTTAGTGAAAGTGTTGGGAGGAGTAACAGGAAATCCACCTCAATTGAATTTACCGCATGATTTGAATCAGTTTGAGTTTTCCAAGTTTTCCTCGGTTTACTTTAAAGGCGCTGATTTACACATGAAAAAAGAACCAATTACAGCACCGTTTCTGTCTAAAGCTGCGGCTAGAGATCAAGATTTTCAAGATGCTGTGGCTATATTTAAGTTAATACTGCGTTGGACCAATGATAAACAATTAACAGGGCCTAGAGAACGTGCTTTGGCCGACTACATGATCCACAAAGGTCTTAATTCAAGGGGGTTACGTGACGAGTTACTTATACAATTATGTAATCAAACATGGAAAAATGAAAATGCCGATAGAGTCTGGCAATTAATGGGGCACTGTTTAAGTTGTTTTCAACCAAGCCCACCTCTAAGCAAGTACCTACTCAAGTTTGTAACTGATCATGCTGGACCCAATAACAAGGAGATGTTGCAAAGAAAAATTACAAGGGGTGTTCAAAAAGCGCCTCATTCAAGGTCCTTACCTCCAACATTATTAGAGTGGAAGAGTATGAAACAAAAAGCCAATACGGCTCTGCCGTTAACATTACCAGATAATCTGGTTTCTACTGTTAACGTGGACTCCTGGACAACGTGCGAAGAAGCGGCGGCTTTAGCAGTTTCTTCAATGGGTGTACCATCTGATGGATGGAGTGTTATTATAGATGATGCTGGGGTTGTCTCAGAGGGAAATGGATTAGATTACATAATGGATCTAGTTTCGGAGCTAGAGCTTTGTCCTGCTTTTCCAATATCAAAGTCAAACCTGCTCAAGGTTGGCACAAGGAAACATTCACCTGTGGAAGTGGACCATCACGCTCTACCTTCACCTACAAGACCACAAGTTCCCCCACCAGAACCACCAATTTCAAGAAAAATCTCAAGAGAGATGTCAAGGGATATGTCGAGAGATATGTCCAGGGATATATCTAGGGATATTTCTAGGGATATGTCGAGGGAAATGTCGAGGGATATGCCAATGTCCAGACAATCACCCCCTGTACAAGTGCATGGCTCTCACCACAGCTCCAGAAAATCATCCAGAGATATTCATCATGATCACATAGAATACAGTCCACAAAGAGAGTCGCCTGTAACAAGTACCCCAGCTAGAAAATCATCCCATGAAGCTCTCTCACGAAGTTCAGCCTTAAACGAACGCTACTTTGATATAGAAAAAGTACGGTCAAGAAGTTTGGATAATTTACTAAGCGAGCCTGAACCGACTCCCTTGGCCGAGCTTGGATTAAGTCAATCCAAACTAAATGAAAGATATCACTCCGTTGAACAACTAGCACCAATTAAGCCAGTTATAGCTCACCAAAACTATATATCAAAACAAGAAATCGACTTCGAATACCCTGATGTATCAAGCGTCAGTACTTCCAACCGTGGTGGTCCAAGGTACGTTAAATCGCAATATGCCGGTAAAAAAGCACCACCTGGTTCACACTCAAGCAAAGCCCAAATTGAAAAATCCGATTTCTTTGTAAGGTGTTCAGCTATGTCAGATACTAGTGAAGCTCCTAGTCTTGCAAGTCACGTAAGAAGAGTTAGAGTGCCTAGTCAAGCTTCAGATGTGGATCAGTTTTTAGATGAATTATTTAGTCCAGTTTTGGATGGTAATTTAGATGAATTAAGCGATGCTAGATCGCTTGCTGCCAGTATCAAAGGTGGCGGTCAAAATATAAACAATGACGATGTTATAGAAGGCCTGGATGATTTTCTAGATGAACTTATGGGTAACCTAGAGCATCCACAATTAAACATGTCAAACACTGACTTGTTGGTCAGCAAAATTAAAGGTGGCGGCCATCGTGACAGATCGAATAGCCAAAGTAGCTCTGTTTTGGATCAAGAAGTCGAAAGTCTTACTTCGGGACAAACCCAACAAATATCGAACGGAAATGTTGACGATTACATAAGCGACTTATTCCGACCAATCTTTATCAACGATTCTATTAAAAAATTAACCCAAAAAGATAATTTAGTCGACAGCATTAAAGGAGGAGGTACTACTCATCAACAAAACGGAGCTGGTTCTTCAAACTACAATATATCTTCAATACCAGCACCAATACTAAGTCCAGCACCTTTAATGATGCCTCTACTGAGCCCAACACAAGAAGGTTTTATGCCTGTTTTTAATATGCCAGGCGTTGGAATGCCTGGTAATGGTAACGATATTGCGGCATACCAACAAAATTTACAAAGAGCATTTTTGCAATCGGCCATGGCGCAAAATATACAAATACAGCAGCAATTGTTGGCACAAAATCAAGCTTTGCAGCAATTGCTAACACAACAACCTACATCTCCAGATATTAATAAAAACGACTCTGTTCAAACTACAGTAAAAGCTCAAATACATCAAGTTTCAAGTCCTAGTAATAGGAAGTCCAGTTTTAAAACTGGTATGAATAGAAAGAGTAGCTCGCCTAGTATTACATCGTCAAACGAGTATAAGTCTAGAAAAGCAAGTTCTTCTGATTCAAATAATAGTATTTCTATGATTAGAAGTGGTATACCACCCCCTCCACCTATGCCTCCACCGATTGACGGTACAGATCCAAGTGAAGCAAGACCTTTCTTGGACCCTTACGGTAGAGCCAAAACTGTACGTATAGGTAAATGGCGCTGGCCGCCACCAAACGACGGAAATAATCCTGAAAATGGAGAAGACTTTATGCACTTTAAAATGAGACAAAACCAACGTAAAGTAACACCAAACAAAGACGGCATGATTGTTACAAACGGCCATCACAGTTCTGCCGAATGGGAGGAAATGGATTTCGAACCCATGGTTAGAGAAAGCGAACATAGGGTCAGCAAAGCTTCATCAAAAAGAGCCTTCGAAATCGGAGCATCAAGACCATCACCTGGAAGTGTTGGTAAATTGAAGTTAAGTTCGGAAATGAGACAACGACTTGAACAAGTCACAGCGAATCACTCTGTTAGGTCGACTAGCAGTAAAGTTGATAAACCTGCTAGAACTGTCAATAAATTAGAAGATACAAGGAAGATGATGTTGGAACAACAATTAGCTGGTATATGGGGTGATGGCTCCCAAGGAACCCCAAGTGGAAAGTCTAGTCCGGATAGCCCACCTCACGTAAGTTAACATTTTAGTTTTAACATCAAAGCCTTATATTTTTTAGACACAAGCCTTTAGAGAAGCTATTTTTCTTGACATTTTATTATTTTTATTTATAAATAATATACTTTCAGATAATGCATAATGGAACCAAATCACCTACCCAACAAAGTTGGTCCAGTTCAAACTGGAAACCAGGCCCGCCTCCACCACCAATAGGTCCTAACTCATTACCCCCTGCTCCTCCAGGTCCTGCACCACCTCCACCTGTTGTAAGACCGAATCAACCTCCACCCCCAGTAGAACCAATAAGGGATTCCTTTATGGCCCAAAGACAAGACCGTGATACATTTGGAGTCCACCAAAACAGAGTAATGCAAAATAACTCAAAACGAAATTCGTTTAGTGCCAATTGGGATGTTCAAAGTAGTATAACCCAGGAAACCCAAGATGATGGCGTAAGTTGGGCCAAAGATGGAATGGAAATCGACAAGGTAGATCGTAGAATATCTAGAGATAGCTGGGATCAAACCGACTCCACCTCTATGGAACAACCAAGTCGTAGAATATTGTACGAGAAAAATAGGGATGTAAGTAAGGATTCGTCATCAAGGCCGACATTTAGAACACATCAATTAAATAAGAGTGCTTTGGAGAGGGAGAAGAAGCATTCCATAGCATCAACCCAAATGACAGACAGGACTGAGCGAACTGAAGTTAATGAATGGCCGGAATTTATGCGACCCATAAAGACACCACCATCCAAATCCCCTATAACCACAATAGCCCAAATAGAAACACATCACGTAGAATCAGAATTAGCTTCACCAAAAACCACAGGAAGATTATTGCCTCTTGGAGCAGCAGCTTGTGTTACATACAATAGAGTATCATGGTTGTTACGGGTTAGAAAGGAATTCTTTTCGCCTTCAGAACCCTTAGGACCACCAAATGCTTTACACTTAATATTCTGCCAGATTGTAGCAGATGTGTATGGGTTGACGTCTTGTTTAAGACTCACGCAAACCGAGAAGAGAGCTGGCGTAAACATGCTATCAGGTTATGGAGTTACTGCTGAAAACTACAATAGTTCTCATAGAGCTAACATTAAAAGGAATGTTATAGAGTTGGCTAGGACATGGCCTTTATATTTTGCAAGATTATTCCCAGTATCAGGTGCAGCACAGGTAAATATAAAAATAAAATGTTTAGGAAACATTCTTATAAAATAAATTTCAGCTCTCTGAAGTACAGCTTATAGCAGTCTCTCATTGGGGGGTACATTTGGTTAGACGTGAACCAGCCCATCTTCAAGTACTAAAATCATTTTCTCTTGCTGAAATTTCATCTTGCACAGCCCCAAGACCGACCAATGTAAGCATTGATGGTGCCCAAGGCAGGTTGAGTCTTCACACGCCAAGGGCACAACAAATTTCCGAGATGGTGACTAAATTCTGCGTGGAGAATAGAAAGGTAGGATTTTTTATTAACTTGTTTTGCGGAAATTTTCTCATACTTCCTTATACAGAGATTGAATAATATTTTTTGCAATCATTATATGCCGTTTAAGGTAAATATAAGCAAACCTCGGGCCTTATAGAAAGTGAAAATAAATTTTAGTTTGTCACATTTAGAGATAAGTAGTCTTAATTAGAGGAAGTAATGGCTTTACCTAATACATAATACCTTAGATATTGCCAAGATGCACCAAATGGAATAATATAAATAAAAGAAATTAAAATATTATATAGGTACTCGTATAATATAAATTATTTAGCAATTATATGTTTGAATTAATATTTTCTTTGCTCTGGATATTTACTGGGTTTTTAATATAAAAAATTAACACATTATAAAAACAATCATGTTAATTTTTTATGGAGTTATGAAAGTTAATATTGTTTTTAATTATTGTTGTTATCTTTAAATGTTAAAATATGCGTTCCAATTTTCTTAAATATATTTAAATTTTATCATTATTTTCAAAGAGGGATGAAGATTTCTAGGTCATTAAACAGGATTTTAAATATTTTTTCTCATTTTAAAATCATTTTGGGCTAATGATCTTGTTAAAAGAAACAACTGCCTTTCCTTGTAAGAATTTTAATTACTCATAATATCTTTGAAGATCTCATACTTAGAACGATTAAAAAAAATGGTGTTATTACTTTATTAATTAAAGCATTGTTTTTATCATTTAATACCACATCTGTTATTTTAGAAAAGTAGGTACATAATCTGACAGGCAAAGAAAGTGCTTATTTAAAGCCAAGGCTGCCGAAGCGTTAGCCGAGGCTGAAGATTTGAGTGAGGCAGTTAATATGAGTTTTTCGCCGTGTTGTATATACTTTTTTTTTAAGTATTTAATAATTCTGTACTTTTATTGAAATTATTGAGTTTGCAACGTTTTGTCAGGTTTGACGCTTAACCGCCCTCGGTGGTGTAGTAGTCAGCACTGCGGACTACAAGCCGAGAGGTCGTGGGTTTGAATCCCACCAGGGGTATGGCTGTTTATTTGTGTGTCAATGTGTACTCCTGTAATTGAGCCTGGTGTCTGTTGGAAGCACATTAAACATAATAAAATAAAAATAATAAAATAAAACAAAACATATATTATATTATAGGTTATGTACATTCATTTATACTACAGTGCCTGAAAGTTTACATTTTCTTTGCTGATTTCGAGCTAAACGCGATAGATGGACACACTTGTTTTATGTCATTTTAATATATTTTCATTATTGTACGGCGGTGTATAATAATACTTTCTACATAGGCTTATTAGTGTTATAATATGAAAATTGTTATACGCTTGAAAACAATATTGTGTATAATTGTGTATAATTTTAACCTAAATGCCTAAAAAATTATTAATAATTTTATAAAAAAGATTTGTATATGTTAATATTAATATTATTTTCTTACACAAAAAATCATCTAGAAACTAAATTAAAGCACTTATATTTCTCCTAATTAACGTTGATTATAATCTTAATCCCAGTTGATTGGATGCACACAATCATGAAAATAAGTGTAATTTTTTCACAGATATTCCTTGCACTACTATGCTTTTTAATTGGGCGATAGTAAATTCTTATTTAAAAAGTATGCAAACACAACCTAAACATGCGATCATAGAAAACGTTGCAATCAGGGTGTGACAACCTCTTAATAAAATAAATAAAGGTTTTGTACCCCCTATTTAATAAACTGAAGGTGATAAAACTAAAAATGTCGGAGCGAAAGTTCCAAACTTGGGATACTCACACATACTTTCACTGCACCGGAATATTAATGAAAATGTATTGAAATTTTAAACATTTTATGTGACGGACAATTTATCAAACAGAATTTTTGATCTAACTTAAAATAAATGTTCGTTGCTTTAACAAAAAAAAATTGTCAATGTATTACTTTTTTACAATCATTACTTGTCGGCTTTAATAGGTATATTAAATACATATTTTTCAACTTGCTTTCTTTGATACTTAAAAACCAGTTTTTGCATATAAAACACATTAAATATATTATGAAAGTTCCTTTAATCTTTGATGATTATATAATGATAAAATAAATCAATATTTTCACCAATAAAAACACAGTTTAATTAAAAATTTGGAAAAAGGCCCAATCAGGTCAAATTTATTTTTTAGAAAATTTAGATTTACCCTTAAAATGAACTTTTTAATATTTAACTTTTTCAGAAAATTCTTTTTATTTAAAATATTTTGAGCTTTGTTATAAATTAATTGAGTTATAAATTAATTTTTTTATAAATTAATTTTTTTATAAATTAATTTTGTTATACATTAAAGCAAAATATATTTAATAAAAATATTTCCTTTTAATTTAATTTTTTTACAAAACATTAGTTTTAGGTCTTGTGCTTACAAGAGTATGTTCGAACTCTATTGAAAAAGATTGAAATCAATATTTGACCAGACTGAACGTTAATCCGAATTTTTAATTTAAGGTTTAAAAAAAATAATAGTTTTGTTTTTGTTGGCCCACCCTGTATCCTGTGCGTAAAAATTGCTTTACTATTAAGTCGGGTTGACAATACTTGTTTTGAAAAGCGACTTTTTTATGCGAGTGCCTAAAATAATACTTTTTCTACGAAGAAAACGAAGTAATGCTTTTTTTTAATTTAAAGACATTTTATTTGACATTTTACATAAAATTCGTTTTAACCTTACTTTTTACCAATCTTACTTTTCACATAGACCTGTCACCTTTTACACAGAAACGTCACTTTTCATTCGAGTTTAACCTTGCAAATAAAAAATTATTTTTTTTAGCAACAAAATTATTTTTTTTAGCAACAAATCCATACGCCAATGCAAGTTATTATTTACTCTGATGATTTGAGTCTCTCGTCTGGCGACTGCAAACCTAATCCTCATGAATAATGCTCCTAATCTTGAGTTTAATACTATACTTTATTTACTCCGATAATTAAATTATTTAAAAAAATCTGACATCAGACACTTTTTACAAATTTAAATATTATTATATACGCCTTTTTCCAATTGGTTCAAATCACAGTGAATATTAAAATCGTCCAATCACTGATGCATAACAACGTGAATAAGTTTATTAGTCCCGTTGTTAGGCAGGAAATTTATAATTTTTATCCTTAATACGGGATGAAGTAAGCAACAGGTTTTTAGTCACGGGCTTAAGGTAGTTGACAGTTGTCAAATGTCATACAATCATTAAAATAAAGTGACGTTCTTGTAAAAAAGTACTAAATATAAAAAGTTATTTTATTATTATGATATAAAAATATAAATGTATTAAATAGTTTCCCAACGCCAATACTTAAAAAGTTTATATTCAGTTCTACTGACCTTTTGATTTCTACGGCAGTAAACTAGATTTAACTGATTTCGGGTGGAGCCTCCACAACATATCTTTACTTTTACTGTAAAAAACTGCTTCTATATCGGATTTAATTTTCAAGAGATAAATCTCACTTTACACGTAAAAATTTGACATTTTGACCGGTGCGCCGGTAATACAGATTCCCACACAGAACACAAGAATGGTTACTCCATTGTTTTATAAATGTCTCTCTATACCTACAAATAATTAAATTAAATCATTTGTAGATAATAATAGGTATTTGTCGTAGAAGAAGTATAGTATGCCATATATAAACTTTTCTCTTTTGCAAGCTCTCTCGTACCTAAATTAAATTCGTGACTAAAGAAGCGTTCATTAAACTTGATACATAATTACAATTAACCAAATATTTGTTGAAATAATTCATAGATGCTTATTTAGAAGGTTTTAAATTTTTAGGTATGTTCAAAGAAAATTACTTTTAAAACTACAAATGGATTAATTATATTATAATTTAATTTTTTGAACTTTTGGACTTTCCCTTCTATAAGTAATAAACTTGCTTGGCATTTTTAGTAGCTCTTCACCACTTTTATTAATTGTTTTATAAATAATTCATGCAATTTAATTAATTATCGATGCTAAAAATAAAAAAAATAAAACGTTGCCGTTTGATTGCAAGCTAAAAGAAATTTATACTTAATTGACTTTGAACTTTAAACTATTCACATATATTTATAATATGAAAAGTATTCAAACAGATTTTTAAATGTAAAATCGATAGTTTTAGAATGTTTGATGCGGAAATATTATTAAAACTATAATAATTCCTGTTTATTTTTCCAATATAACTACATCAGGAATGATACCTATTATCTAATTAATAAACGCTTCAGTTTTGCTTGAATTCCTAATATAATTTATAGGATAAGTAATTGGCGATTAATTGCAAAATAATAAGTTACTTAAGAATAATTAAGAGACAATTAGTAGAAAAATTGTTTCATAAACGCTACAAAATATTCATTGTAATAACGCAGCTGAGAAAGTTGATGTGAAAAATGCTTTTGCTGAATATGTAATGAGAAAAATTAGATACATTTTTATTATTTTTACATACCTTTACATCCTCAAACGCGGATATACATACTTGTGTATTCACTTTTCGTTTTTGAGTTGGGTCAGTTAACTCTCCTTTTAAATTTCCAATTTTGAATTCCTTTAAGTATATAAATATATACATATTTAACTCGAAAGGAATAGTAAGCAGTTTTCATTAATTAAAATTGTTGAACGCATTTGCAAGGTTCGCTTTGTGCACTTCCTTGAAAAAATTAAAATTTGTTTTAGTTCCAATTTAATTTGGTTGCTTTCATATCTCGACGATGTTTGTTTTCCTTTATTAATTAAGCACCTTAATAACACATACGTAAAATTAACTATACATAGGTGTTCGTATGGTTTAGTATACAGTGGTTACTTGAAATCCACTTGCCACTGCTGCTTGGCGAGATGTCCCACATTACTTGGGGAAATTGTTAACTGGTCGGTTCCAATATTACGGTTTTAACTCAAATACAATTGCCAACGGTTACAATTATATAATAGTATTATATATTTATTATATT